GAGTGTTATAGATTTCAGCACACAAAGAAGAGGTTCTTAAAAAAAAAAACAGAGTATCTAGAATTACAGGGGAAGGTCCATGTCTGTTAGTGGGAAGAGAAAGAAACAAAACACCAGCAACCAAGGGCACAGGCGCTCGCCACAGAGTGGTGTGCTTCAGGAACAGGCTTGTCTTGCCTCTCTGATGTCTTGAACCAAATCCTTTTTCTTCAAACCACAGGACCTGTGTTCTAAGGAAGCCCCTGAAGAAATCCTGCCCTAGCATAGTGCTGAAAAAGGTCAACAACCCCCTTGATTACTATGGACTCTTGGCCCTTTTGCCCTTGATTCTTACTAAGTGTTTTGTATGCCCTTATCATATTAATCAAGCTCTTCTCAGCCATGGAGTGGGTTCTGAGGCTGGATGAGCTGCCTGGCAAAACGGTAGGCCCCACATGAGTACACGTGCTCAAGAGAAGCCTGAATTCATTAAACAAAATACATTTATTGAGCACCTGCAGTGCATTGGGCACAGGGCATAGAGGTAAATAAAACAGGGGTTCTCCCTACCCCCAAGAAATGCATGGCCTGGTTGGGGAGGTGGAGCAGTGGTGGTAGTGAGGAAAAGACTGCCTTACATGCAAGGTTGAAGCAAAGGACCCAAGGGTGTGTGGCCATCTTACATGCTTGGTTTTCTGGGACAACCTTGCTTTCAAATGTCCTATTGACCTATTCCATTCTCACACGGTCTGTTTTTGTTTGGGGGATAAAAACATAGGCCCTCGTACTTCAGGAGCTCCATAATACTAAGAGGCCAGAGTCAGACTAAACCCAGATACAGGTTTCTGTGAAAAGCCCTCAGGACGCTTGCTTCAGTTTACGTTTGACTTCTAGAGCAGGCTCATCACAGTTGGACGTGAGCCAGCCACCCACTTCAGCTCACTGTCCCTGGGGCTCTGCTCTGAAACGTTATTTATTAGATGTTGAATATTGAGCATTATGAACACTCTAAAAAGAAGCATTTAATGGGAGCTTGAAGTTTACAAGAATTTCCAGTGGTAATTCTGGCGATTTTCACCCCATTTATTTATGCTCCACATAAGCTCTGTGGCCAAGAGAGACCGTCCAGAAAGCCACTTAGAAATGCAACTGCTCGAAGTGAGAGCCACACAGGCTCCGTCCCCACGTCCAGCAGGCCGGCCAGGGGTGACCACAGGTGCCCTGGAAAACTAACAGGCCCGGGGAGAGCGGCCTGGGCGTGATGTCCCTGCTCTCCAGGGACACGAATGCATGGACGGCGTGTACCAGCCTCTGCACAGAGAACCCCTTTTCACAGCTCTGTCCATTTTCCTTCACTGCCATCAAAAAAAAACACCAAGGATATTCTCCACGCAATATGTACAGATTCATATTACCATGCGCTACATTCCCTGACACAGAAAGACCTACACCAAGGAAAAAATGTGGCAGGAATAGCCCGTATTGCCTGTATTTGGTTAGAATTAGTCCTATCTCCCAACATGAATAAAGACATAATAGAATCACAGCATTCAAAGTTAACTCTGGCAAGTATCAAAGATATGCTCCTTTTGGGAAATGGCCTAAATGTAAATTCACCATGGCCTCCAACGCTGGAGCCTGCCGTTTCCACACTGGTTTACCACTGTTTCTTTATATTTCCATGCCATCATGTACCTCTAATTAGGACCATTTCACAGACAGATGTTAGGTTTCAGGTTTAAAATTATACATACACTGTACCTTTAAAACTCTATGATCCTGTCCTCTTTTCATAGACGAGAAACCTTCAGTTCTAAGAGACTCATCAGTGTCGTGACCAGTGGCAGAAACAGAAAGAAAACTACCCTTCTTCTCTCCATCTGGGCTATTTCCTGGTTGATGTTTTCCAATCCTTACCATAAAGTAGTTTAAAACGAAATCCTGGGCTGCTCCCTAATGGGGCGTCTTCAAATGCCAAAAGATGAAGATGAATGAAAGAGCTTGTGAAATTAGGCATCTTTTGACATCAAAACTACAGTGAGATTGATGCTGCTTTCCCTCCGAGAGCAGACACGTGTCAAACTCAGGAGGGCTTATTAGAAACTCAGCTTTGCAACCACTACAGTCGCTCACAGACATCTCTGCTGCCAACTTGTATGTTTCTTCACCAAGTTTTATGGGTGCCTGAGAGAGGACAAAGCCCTTTACACCCCAGCAGCTGGCCCTCATGAAAAGGTATGGTTACTCTTTTCTTTTCCAGATAGACCCACAGGCTGAGGGATTTTACATGTGGTCTAAGTGAGTGACATGTGGGGAACACTCAGCCCTCCAGAGAACATCTCGCCACAGTTCTCCAGCGAGACTTTGGCTGGACCGACTGCTCTGTAACTAGATGGCTCCAATTCAGGCTCACATGACCTTCAGTTAGCAAGTCAGGAAGTGAGTCTGGAGAATACAAGACTTCTGGTTTAAAGAAGTCAGTACAATGACTCTGGGGAACCTTGGGTGCTTAATCTGGGTGAGGTGAGGCCTGACATTGTGACCTCAGGCCTGTTTTGTCGATTTAGGAACCTTCAATATAATGATAGCCACAAGTTTAAAAGTAAAGAACACACACCAGGCCACACGTGCTTCTGGCTGTCTAGAGGAGCAATTCATTTCAAAACAAAATGGAAACCCTAAACCCAGAAACCAGACTCCCTCAAAGTACTCCCCATCCCCCGTCTCCATGACGTTTCTTCATTCGTGTTTTAAAAACTTAAGGACTAAATCTCCCTTAAAATATTTTTATACAATCTTAGAATTATACATACACTAGAAAGGTCTGATATTCAACTCAATGGAAATCTACACTGACAAAAATCAGGCAAAAATTGACAGTACATTTTCTTCTGCACTTACTCTTTTTAATGAGCTAGAAAGTGGCCTCCTTACAACTCCACCAAAATTAAAACATCTTGTGTCTTTTGAAGCCACAATTGCATTCCTCTTCTTAAAGGAAGACAAACTCTTTATTCTTCTAAAAGCCAAGTATCCAAATTTCTCAAGGCCAGTCTCCACCACCCGAGTTCGGGTATGACCTGAACTGGCTGGCACGAAAGTGTCCCCTCTTTAGCTTCCATTACAGTCTCTTTACTACCTCAGTGGCTATTAAATGACTGAAAACAGATGTCTGAGTTCCATGTGGGGCCCGCGTATGCCTGGGAAAGCGAGAAGCCTTCAGCTTCACAACGCTCTTGACATTCCACTTTCTACAAGTACTCATGAGCGGGAGTGCGCTCACTCGAGGAGACCCTTGTAACTCCTTCACCAGGGCAGAGGGTTAAACAAGGCTCAGCTTTTTATGCTTCGAATCCCATTTTCCTCTTATACCATTTAAAGAAGGGTGTAAAATGCTTTCTGAGATTAAAAAATAAATAAGTCAAAAGGAGCTGAAGCACAGAGCAGAGTCCTTGAACATGGGAAGGTCTGGGGTGCAAACCTATTAGCAGAAGACCTCAGGGCTCATCTCACTGCTTGAGGAGGAGAGTTTCAGGACAAGCTTGTCTATTATCTGCTACTCTAGCTCTAGTCCAAAGCACTTCCCATTTTTTACTATCTAGATCAGGGGTCCTCAAACTACGGCCTGCGGGTCACATGCAAATACAAATATTGTATTTGTTCTCGTTTTGTTTTTTTACTTCAAAATAAGATCTGTGCAGTGTGCATAGGAATTTGTTCATAGTGTTTTTTTAAAACTATAGTCCAGCCCTCCAACAGTCTGAGGGACAGTGAACTGGCCCCCTGTTTAAAAAGTTTGAGGACCCCTGATCTAGATAAAATTAGAAAGAACTATTATGGTTCCAGCCATTCAAGAAATATGGATTCTGGGTCCAGCTGTATGACCCTGGACAAACTACTTAACCTCCCTGCGCTCCCTGCTTACTACTCATCTGTTAGGCAGTATGCTTACCTAATTTATACCGTACCCATTTCAGCCCACTGCAGTTTTACAAAGCACTATCACATACCTCGGTGCATTTGATTCTTGCAATAACCCTGTAAAGTAATAGCGGCTATCAGCCTCCTTTTATAAAATGGGAATTGAGGCTCAGGGGCTGACACACTCTCAAGAGCAGCCAGAAAGCAGAAGCGTACTGAACACTCAACTTCTGATGCCAATCAAATACTTTTCTTACCACACCATGCTGCGTGATCTTTCCAGTTCCAACAGTATTGAAATGCCACAATTTAAAAAATCTGCCACTATTCACAGCCCATGTCACTCTGTTTAGAACCTGACATCATTTATACAGTGGGGATCAAGACGCCCTTGAGTAAGTGCTCTAACATAAACACTTCTGTTTTCAACTTAATTCTTTTGCTCTTTTTAAGGCTCAGATGCTGAATGCTCCCTAATAAAGATGCTTCGTACTATGGTGAAGAATCTAACAGATTTTGCTTCTGATGGAAATATCAGTATGCATGTATGAAGGAGTCCAGAATACATATTCTACAGTTAAATTCGAAGTACCTGCAAATCATTACTTTAATGGAAAGGAAGATGAAATGGTAACATCGAAGATCAACAATAAGGGTGCTGGACCGGGGAATCTAAGGAAGTCCTTTGGTTGAGTCCTTAACCTTGAAGTTTGTGTGACTCAGGTCCTACCTTCCTCCCCTTCCCTTCTGTTTTCATCCATCCATCAAATAGGGGGACCAGAGTCATAGGTCAGCAAGGGTGACTGGATACAAAGAAGAATGACATTTATGAATGTGTGTGTGTGTTTTCTTTTTACGGGCAATACAATTCCTGAGCTGTCAGCTTGTGGGGAGGGGCACCTGACAGCCCTATTTGTTTTGCAGGTACAACTCGGAGATGAACTGGTTGGGAGCTATGTTGCTGTGTAAACTGTATACCACTGCTTCATAGCTCTAAGTTTCTCAACGTGGAGTCAAGTTCACACTAAATAAAAGGCAACCCCCCCCGCCCCCAGACACCCCCACGTGGTTATTATGATGCCATAGCACTGGGCACTAACCTGCTTTGCCCACTTCCCCTTTCCTCCGTGAGCCTTCAGCCTGGCACCCAGCTCTGAGATGAGGCCTGCTTAGCACCAGTGAAGTTCCCCACGTTCAAACCAACAACGTTCTGTGTGGAGATGAGGGAATCAAAGTTAAAATCCAACCCATCGGCATCCATGAGGTCACTGCGAATAATGGACTCCATGTCACATTCCAAGCTCCCATTGAACATGTCCAGGTCCAGGTCGCTGGGGAACTTCTCGTGGCCCATGACGGAAAGGTTTGCACTGGTTGAGTACAAAGAGGAGCCTGAGAGAGAGTCCGAGAGGGTTTGCATAGACTGGCTGACAAGAGACTGCTGCTGGTGTTTGGCTGACCCGAGGCTGCTAGAATCGCTCAAGCCCATGTTGCTGACAGAATTAGACAAGGCACGGCTGCCACTGAGAGCGCCCTGGGTCTGGTGCTGGTGGTGGAGCAAGTTCTGGTTGACCAAACTCCCCTGGTTAGGCTGGGCCGCAAAGGACATCATTGGGTCATTGCGAAGCATCACATTGCGGCGGGAGTTCTGGGCAGACACAGCGGTGCTGGCCTGAGACATCAAGGGGTCCGACTGGGTCATCATGACATCGCTGTGGCTGAGTGAGTCTGAAGTGAGCAGGTCCTGGAGTGTCTGGGTGCCATAGTGCGGCATGGAAGAGAAGGTGGCTGGCTTGTTCTCTTGGATGGTCTGCATGGGAGACTGGCGCAGGGAATTCAGAGATGAGGGTCCAAACACTGTGCTGTTGAAGGAGCTGGTTGGAGAGCCCAGGCCGGAGCCCTTGGTGGTGTATGGGAAGCTAGAGCTCCTCTGCATGAGCCCCGCGGTGGGGGACGGCTGGGACGGTGGGAGCGGGATGTTATCCAGCAGGTCATCCATGAGGTTGTCAGCCAGACCATCATTCAGATTCATGGTGCCGGCCATGTCAGTCAGCCGGGGCAGCTCCACAGTGCACGGCTTGCTTACGGAGGGTGAGAGGCTGGCTGAGCTGCTATAAAGCATGGGGGAGAGTGGCGCGTCGTCATCCTGGACATCATCCAGCTCTGTGCCCGCCAGGATGGGCGATAGGCGGCCGCTGACCGTGCTGGCATTGGAGTTGGTGCGTGAGCGAAAATCCGTCCATGCATCCAGCTCATCGCTGCTGCGAGATGTGGGGCTGCCAGGCCACTTGGAGAGCTGGGAGGGACTGTCGTCTGCTGACTCAGGAGCTGTTTGCAGGGCTGCCTTCTTCTTGGCTGCACGGCTACGGCTCTTGGTATACTTGTTGCTGTTGTCCATGGAGACAGCCCGCCGGCGGGGTGCCTTCCCGCTCTTCCCTCCGTCGGGGTTGATGATCCACCAAGAGCTCTTGCCAGTCCCCTCATTCTGGACCCGCATGAACCGGCTGTGTAGCGAGAGGTTGTGTCGGATAGAATTCTGTAGAGAGAGGAGGGAAAATGTGGAATATGAGCCAGAATGGTCTGAAAACTGAGCACCAAGAAGAAATAGTTGATCATGCTAATTTTTAAATGCCTGCATGACCCTCCGTGGCTCGGAACTAAATGACATTGCAAATGGCAAGTTTCCTATTTTGGAGGTGGGAGATGGTTTCATATTCAGGAGATGATGGGACTGTATAAGCTCACTGACAGTTTTTCACAAATTCCGAAGTTCTGTTGTCCTTTCTGTAACTGTATTTCCTATACTGAAGTTCACACTTTGCAACAAACCTCCCTGGCTCTCTGATGGTAATTAATCACCCAGGTGCTATTTTATTCTCCCCTAGTGTATAGGCAGCATCTACATTTTCTTAACAACATCTAATGAACTCAGAACCGCTGTGAAATTTTACCTATGACCATCTCCTCCAATCACAATTTCACACCTGACAGATGTAAGAAAAAAGCCTGTAGAGTAGGATTTGCCGAGTTGGCAGAAGTAAGCAAGTCTCCCATTCAAGTATCTCATTTATATAGATACTCCCCCATTCAAAGTAATGTGGTCTGAGCATAGTCGCTTCCTTCCAAAGAGTACAGTAAGGGAAGGGTGAGGGGAGTAACTACATAGTGGAGAACCTGACAAATGTGATCTTAGCCAGATGATCAAGGGCAACATCTCCAGGGATAAGTCATGTTGATACTATCTCCTCTCAATATGATGTGATGAAAATGCACCTCCTTTGCCGTCTTCCTTCCAAAACCCATCACCCCGTCTAACCATGAGAGAAAACATCCGACAGATCCCAAATAAGGGACATGTAACAGAGGCCTGTCCAGTGCCATAAGGAACCTAAGGAGGCATGATGACTACATGTGATGTGGTGTCCTAGGTGGGATGCTGGAACAGAAAAAGGACAGGAGGTAAAAACGAAGGCAATCTGTATCGATACTGGTCATTCATTGTGGCAAATGTACCAAACTAATACAACATGTTAACAATAGGGAAAGCGACATTGGGCATATGAGAACTCTCTATACCAGTTTTGCAACTTTTCGCAAATCTAAAACGATTCTAAATTTAAAAGTTTATTTTTTTTAAAGAGAAATAGGGCCAAACATCCCCTAAACACTAATGACTATACCCATCTTGCAAGAATCCTGCTGGCTTGGTAGATAAGCCCAGTTGACAGGGATGACCCAGATCCAGTTTTATCTCTGCCACTGACCAGCCACGTGACGCTGAGCAAATCAGGTAATCTGTCTGCTGTAGGTTCAGTAACCCATCTTCATGATAGCCATAAAAATATCCAAACCATCCCTCCCTGACAGGGATGATGTAAGGATGATATATGATAATATACTTCAGGAGCCTGTCACGCTACCAAGGCAGGGCGTTCTTGCTGCTACCGTCAAGTACAGAGTCCATGAGGAGAGCGCACTGCCTGGTGCGGGCTCATTCTAACCTGTAAAATGTCTCAGGGGCAGTAAAAGAGAGGAGTTGATGGTATTCTCCACATTTGGAACAGCACCTGAAGGCCAGATGAGTTTGTATTTCCAAGTTAAAGACCAAAGGTATGGATGCTGTATATTAAATATGAGCAATCCTAAATGTTACCCTAGTTTTTTAAAAATTGGCAATCACCATGTGTATTTATGTAGAAGATGATACAAATACATGTGTTCTACCAAATGTTTTTAAAACACAAAGTCAGCAGGCTGTTACCATAAGTAAATAACTCAAAATACTCACAGTCTTTCCCACGTATATGTTCCCTTGCAAGGAGGGCTTACATCTTAGGCTGGGCAATGGCATTAGCAGCCCTGGGTCATAAGTCGGTATTTCTACCACAGCCATAAAGACACATTTGAGAGAAGAAATAAGGCAACATGCTGAGTATCTGATGAGATGAACTTTGCCCAAGAGACTATCTATCCTGCTTCCCTTTTACTCTTATGGTTTTTAAAAGAATAATGACGTCTCTGCTAATGGTTCAGAAATTACATTTCTTTAAAAAGGAAAACACTTTCTCAACAGTAGATATAAAGCATGCTCTTAAAACTCATTCTGCAGGGTTCAAAAAACAGGCGAGTGCAAGGTGGTTCTACTACTGAGTACTCAGATGATTAGATATATTAAATAAAAACTTAAACTCAAGCTTCCTGGTGAGAAAACAAGGAAGTCCTAAGGCTATGCGGGGCCAATGTGGACACTGGCCTAATTACTCCTACCCTGGCCAGGCTCCTTTGCTCTAGATGTTGAAAAGAGTTCATACCAACACCCAAATTAACAATGAGCAATCATAAGTTTCCAATGATCCCTCCTTTTAAAGAAAGCATTTAGGGAAACACTATTTTTTAAAACGTATTTTTAGTTTCGCCAATTCTAAGTCAACTGAGAAAAATAACACACCTTACAGATCTCCAAAATGCCCTATATGGATTTTCTAATGGCCATCTATTACTGCAACTCTAAACCCCAACAATGTATGTGTGCAATTTTATAAAATTACAAGCTACAATTGGTTAACATTTGGAAACAGAAACCAAGCTTCTGTTTGCCCAATAAGGGCATGTGGTAAAGGGGTTGGGATAGCCACATCCAGGACCAGAACCACAGGGTGTCAGGGCCCTAATTGCAAGGGTGAAGAAGAAATGAGAGCCTGCCTAATTATAGCCCTGTTAGCTACTGGGCCACAGGTGTTAGGTTCATTGTCTTTAATCCTCACAGTAAACCTGCAAAGGTGGTATCAGTGCCCTCACCATAGACATGAAGGCTCAGGCTGAGAGACTTTAAATAACTTACACAAGGTCACACAGCTAGTGCCTATAAGAACCTAAACGGAAATGTGTTTTCCCAACTTCAATCCAATGCTTTTACCACAACCTTTCACACGCCTGTCACCAAAGTATTCAGATGTCATCACTTAACCTATCTGCTAACATTTACAGAAAGAAATGTCTGAGAAGGATACAAAAGCACAATCTTATTACTGTAATTTTGTTTATGAAATAGTTAGTGATAATAATTTAGTAGGTATTTCCCTTAAAAAAAATAAGTCTCTCAAAAGAGCAAACCTGAAAGCGAAGAAAGCTCACTCCAGAGCCCACGTCTGCGTTTGCTAGTTGGCCATAACATTTATTCTAAGGGGAAGACAGCAGCTACTACACAAACCAGTGTTAACTACCCTTGGATTCTGAAACAAAACCCAACTTATTAAGTGGGTGATTAGCTTTGGGGTCCAATCTTTGCTCAACTCTTCGTTTTAGAGGTTATTAGCAGCAGAATACATTTCCTGAGGCGTACTGCCTACACAACACTCCGACAGGCTTTTCCAGTTACTTTACCGAGACAACACAAATAAATACTGTGCCACCACCATCCTCACAGCCCCCTAAGCATACAGGCTGGCCAGCCTTCCATTTAAAAAAATCCACAATCTGAACGTGGGGGACCTAAGGCCAATAAATATGGCCCGTCGGTCCATTTCCAGTTCAAATGTCTGCTTCACCCCATCCAGGTCAGAGGCCAGCAATGTGTTCTCGTTTTCTTCAAAGGTCATGATTCAAATCACTAGCTTCTCTACCTAAATTTTGGTAAAGCACGAAATAGGTAAATAACAAAATGCCAGATAAAATGTCAGAACTGCAATATTTTCCCACCTTCCCTGACAACAAAAGTTAATGGTGATATGATTTCTGTAAGATTTCAAACTGCCCCTCCCTCACTTCAATCCTGGGAGTGAAGGAATGGGATTTATAAACACAGACAAGCCAAGTGTAAAATCCTCTTACGATGTATACTTTAAGTTCTCTAAAGAACTCTCCATTAGGGTCTGTAAATTAGCTCCCAATTTAGTGTGTGATCTTTTTCCTACTAATTCGTCTATTGTGCCAAATGGTCCACATTTCTAAAATTTAGTTTGGGAGTTGGGAGCTGAAGGTACAGGAGAAATGCTTTGGCAGGACTAGAGTGATTTTTCTAATCACATCGAAATACACTCTTTGAGGCAGGCCAATGGTGACGGGCCAAAGTACTAGCTTTCCTTAAGGCTCAGGTGATAAAGTAAACACTACCAACCAAGACAAGACTCCTACAGTCAGAGCCCAGGCTGCTCTGTCATCACATCTGCTCACTGAAGGAGCCAAGAAGCTATGATAACCCCAACCCAAAACCATGTGAACAGTTCTGGGAGTTTAAATCCACCCCTGAAAACTCCAGATACTGATGAATTACAGGAGAGCAAATCAGGGACAAATATGCCAGTTTTTCTCTATCTTGGGCCCAAAGGTTTAGTGAACCCTTAAAAGCCCATCTATCACAATGTGCCTGAGGAGAGAAAAGAAGAGATAAGAATACCCTTCATCTCATCTTTATGTCAATCTTGCCTTTTACAAAAACGAATTACACGGAAGCAAGCGTTAGTGGTTAATGAGTAACAACACTGGCAAACCTGTGGGGTTGCAGCCGCAATCAGTGGCCCACTCCTTTCAGGAGGCATGTGCAGTCGGCGTGTGGAGGCGGCAGCACGAGGGAACCCACATTTCACACTCGGGCTGACTGTGGTGGTGTGGGCCACAGCCGAGCGGTCCCTTTGCGTGGCCCCCCCTCAAAGAAATTAGTATGAAGATGACTGTACTCATCAGAACTGGCAAGTTATCTGTCTTGCTATCCAGACCCTGAGGACAGTTTTCTACTACAAGATACCTTTATTGCTAATGCTAAAGTGCCTGCGGTCACTACATATACAGCAACTGGTTGCGAAGACCCATGGACCCAAAGCAGATCAGCTCGGGTGTGGGGGAGAAGCCGCCTGAAATGAAAAAGCATTCTATCAATACTTCCCAAGGTGGGTAACTCACAGATGCAGTTCGAAGTGTGACGCGGAAGGAAAGTCACCAGCCTTGATGTCAGCCAGCTCCCTCCTAGCTGAATCATGGCCCTGTCATTTGTCTTGTGACCTTGGGCAACTGACTTAACTTTGGTTGCCCCTTTCATGA